TTTTTTTTTTTTTCTCTAAATCGAAGTTGGGCTCTGATACTAAATTGATGTAGATCGTATTAGAGATGAATTAGAGATCAGAATGGAAGAATATGAGATGAGAAAAGAAGAAAAAGGGGATAAGAATAGAGAGAATTTTAGAAAGAACATTCAATATCAATAATCAAAGTTATCAAAACAGATACCATATTCCCTATATATATATATAGAGCACAATTCCTAAAAGAACTATAAAAGAAATAAATAATCATAATGACAACTAAACCCTTAAAAGTTAAAAGAAAATACTTAAAAGATAACCACTAAATTACTCTCATAATTAATCTAAAATATTTATTCAATTCCTATACGATCCCATCACATGAATTTAACACCAATAATCAATGGCAGAGGAAAAGGGGTTTCTGCATGTATGGGATGTGTGTGTGTGTGTTTGTTTCGGCCTCTGTGTGTGTAGCACAGTAGCAGAGAACAGAGAGAGAGGGGAGGAGAGAGAGAAATATCTTAGAGAGACCTCGCGAGCTGTATGGTGGCAACGATGGAGACGGTGAGTTATGGCACTTTGGAGGAGAGAGAGAAAAGGGAGAAAAAGGAGGCAGAGAGGCGGCAGGCCCAGACAGAGTGTGACGGTGAGAGAGAAGATTGGATGTGATGGAATTTGGAGGGAAAATATGTAGGGGTAAACTTCAAATTACTAGCTGTTTATATCATATAGATGTACAGTTTAAGCAGTGCAATTCTAGTAATGATATTTAACAATGTCTTTTGCAAAAGTTGTTAATAAAACGAGGAGAGCATATGCAATCCACAACTCAACTTTCATACATATGCATGTTACACTCGCAGTATATAATTTAAGCTAGCACAGGAACTAAATAAACAAAGATGTAAAATGAAGAAAATGAAGAAGTTCAACTTGCCAGTTGCATCTCACTTTATCAGACTGACAACATGAACTCAATCTTCCATATTGATGCTGTGAACCTGCAGGCGGCAACCCTTGCTGAAATGGTTGCTTAGGTGCTACCACTCATCCTCCTTCCATTTGTTGGACTTCAGTTTTACACCTTTAAAGCTGTAAAATGTATTGTTTCAAATGTCATCCATACATCTAGTTGTGTACAAGTGCATATAGGGCTACAATGCAAGCCAAATCAGATTTGTAATCCATTCTTCCTCCTGGCCCAGGAGAAAAGGCATCTTATACTCTAGTTAGTTCCTTGCAAGACATCTGGCACATATCCATGCTCACGCAGGCGAGCAGTCAACGAATTTAGTCCAGTATAGATGAAATATGCTTCAGGATGGGTCCAATCACTGGTTACAAAGACATGCACACCATCATTGAGTTCAACCCAGCTACACCCTGGTGTCTTCCTCACATTTTGCTGCCTCATTGCATTCCTCACCCCTGATACCTCTTCATATCGACCAGCTGCTCCATAAAGATTTGATATTAGAACATAACTTCCACAATGCTCTGGTTCAAGCTCACATACCTTATGTGCAGCAACCTCAGCCAAAGCAGCATTCCCATGGAGCTGGCAAGCTGCCAATAAAGCCCTCCATGGCACTGGGTTGGCCTCAATAGGCATTGTAGATACCAATTCATAAGCCTCGTTAAGTTGTCCAGCCCGACCTAGCATGTCAATCATGCAAGTGTAATGTTCAATAGTTGGAACGACAGCATATTTTGGCTGCATTTGTGCAAAACATTCTCGCCCTTGGCTTACAAGGCCAGCATGACTACAAGCAGATAAAACCCCGACAAACGTGACCTCATCAGGCTTCAAGTCTGCCTCATACATACAATGGAACATATCTAATGCCTCATTGCCAAAGCCGTGGATGCCAGAACCCATAATCATAATGTTCCATGATGCAACATCTTTATAGCTGATCTGATCGAAAACCAAGCGAGCTTCCCTCATACTCCCACATTTTGCATACATATCCATAATAGCATTGCTCAGGTGAATATCATCAACATCTATGTCATCATTGTGATCACCTGCAGACAAGCCATTAGTGATCATGTACCCATGTATCTCCTTACCGTGCTTCAATGCTGCCAAATGGGCACAAGCTGGAAGGATGGTTGTAACCGTGACCAAATCAGGTTGAACTCCAGCATGCAACATCCGATTGAAAAACCTCAAACTCTCATCATGATCACCACACTGCTCATGAACATAGATTATCGAGTTCCAAGAAAATATATCCTTCTGAGCCATCATCCCAAAAACCTCTAATGCATCCCACCTGCATTTGCATTTGCCATACATAGCAATCAATGCATTTGAAACTGCAATACCCGAATCATAACCCATTTTGACCACGAGCCCATGAGTTGCCCCACCATTACTAAAATCCCCTGTCATAGCAAAAGCAGATAAAATTCCTGTAACGGTGAATTTATTCGGAATGACCCCTTCTTCACCCATTCTCCTAAAAACCGCCAATGCTTTATCAAACTCCCCAATCTGCACATGCCCATTAATCATCGCATTCCAAAGCACGACATCATCTCTTAAAGGCAATTCCTCAAACACTTGTTTTGCCTCTTCCATTAACCCAAACTTCAAATAACAATGAACCAATGCACTACCAACAAAAACATCAAACTCTAACCCAAATCCAACCAACAATCCATGAATCATTCTAGCCTCTAAAACCTGCGAACAAGCCTTAATTACACACGGAAATGTAAACTTATCCGGCATAATGCCTGTGAACCGCATTTTCCAATAAAATTCAACTGCAAGTTTTGGCAATCCATTGGCAGTGAAACCAGCTATAATAGCATTATAAGCAAACACATTCTGACCCTCAGTTGACTCACTAAAAAGCAATAAAGCATCACCGATACAATTGCACTTGGAGTACATGTTGATAAGGCTTGTGATGGATAATGGAGAGATGTCGAGTAATCCATTGATGAGCATATGTGAGTGGAGCAGTTTACCTTTTAAGAGGTTTTTGTTCTGGGCGCATGACTGTAGGGTTGCAATGCAGGTTGTCAGGTTCGGAAGGGATGGGAAAGATTGAGTTTGAGTTCGTTTAGAAGGAATACATGAGAAACTAACGGAAAAACGGAAGTGGGTCTTGAGAATTGGCCTTGAAAAGATTGTTCTTTTGTTCATCTAATGGAAATAACTTCAGATTCCGATGGGATGACAACTCAATTCCGCAAGAATTCCACAAAGGGTCCGTTTGGATACGTTTATGGTCTTTGGTTCCCAAAAAATCTAAAAACAGAAATAACTTTTGTTTTACAGAAATAACTTTTGTTTTTCTTTAGTGAAAAACAAAAATAGAAAACGTAGACGGGAGTGGGTCTGGTGACGAAGAGGCACGAGACGTTACAGTTAGATGTGATTTACTGTTATTTATATGGGTGCCCAGACAGTGGGTGATTTGGTGCAAATAGAGTTGGAAGCCTGGACCTCATTAAACCAAGATGCACGTTAAATAATTTTTTTCAGTTTTTAAAAGCAACTCTTTTTTTTATCATTTTTAAAATCATCCAACGTTTTCAAAATATGACAATAAACAAAAAACTCAACTGGTTACCAAACCGAGTTTTTTTCCCTTGTGTTCTCTAAATATCAGAACGAAAACAAAAACGTTATCAGACGAGCTATAAATTAAATTTGTACCTATATGGAACAAAGACTTGAAAGTTTATTTGCAGATTGGGTCAACAGTCCTTCCCCTTTTATTCGTAATGCTTGGAAGAACAGTCTGTTCTTGTCAGAAGACCTAGATATAAACCTTTAGTGCGTAGCAGCCATTCCGATTAGCCTTTGTATTTCCTTAACGGTCTTTGACAACCGGAGTTCTATTGGGACTTTAATCTGGTTGGAGTTGACCTCAATTCCTTGTTTGGTGACTAAGAAATTTAGGAATTTTCTCGACTTGACCCCGAAAACACATTTTTAGGACAAATAAGCCTAGATCTATACACCTTAATGAATTGAATAGTCTTTCAACCTTCATTTGATTTCTACGATCGGCATAGATCTTATGAGATCCGCCCACGTTAAAATTCTCTGTAAGTCGGCAAGGTCATTGACTATTTCTTGATTTTTGACCATTATATCATAAATGTACACTTCCACAGTGTTTCCAACATCTCTTTGAACATTCACGTAACCAGCTATTGGAACTTGGTTCCTGCATTTTTAAGTTCGAATGGCATCACCTTGTACCAATAGACTCTTTGTGGAGTGATGAATGAGGTTTTTTCCTAATCAGACTCCAAGTGTGGGATTTGGTGGTAACCTTTGTAAGTATCAAGGAAACTCATCCGCTCGTGCCATGATGTAAAATTGATTAATTGATCGATTTTTGGGAAATGGAAGCTATCATTGGAACACGCTTTATTGAGGTTAGTGAAATTAATACAAAACCTCTATTTTTCGTTCTTTTTCTTCACCAACACAATGTTGGACAGTTAAGATGGATATAAAAATCTCCTTGACTGATTGTGCCCCGAGCAACTTTCCAACCTTTTCGTTGACAGCCATGTGTTGCGATGTTTGATCTCCTTTGTTTCTGTTTAATCGGCTTGAAACTTGGATCAATGTTTAGATGATGGCACATAACTTCGGGGTTAATGCTCGACATTTCATAAGGACTCCAGGTGAACACATATATGTTTCTCTTTAGTAGATCTTGTAGAGCCCTCTATTCGTGCTTTGTAAGTGACGATCCGATCAAGAAGTATTTATCGATGTTATTCCAAATACACTGTCATCCATTGAAAGCTTGATTGGAATCGTGGTAGACTCTTCTAGGCTCGATCGTTCATACTTTGACTGATCTTCTTTCATACAATTCCCTCTTATAGAAGGAAACAAACAACTTGCGATTACTTGGTCTCCCTGGATGTCAACAACTCCTCCATCTGACATAAATCTAAGGATTTGGTGGTAATTTGAAGGAACTACCTTAATTTCATGCATCTAGGTACGCCTTATAATGGTGTTGTAAGCCGACAGGGTTATCTTTCCATTTTGCAAGACTATTTTCTCACTAAAATCCACTAGTGGCACACTTGCCCGATTTAGGTCCTCCTCCTTCAAGCCAAGCTTACGAAACAAGGCCAGAGTACACAATTTTCAAAGAACTTCCCTGGTTAATTAGGATTTTCTTTACGTGAAAATTGACTATTCGCAGAGTCAAGACTAGAACATCATTGTGTGGGTGATGGATTCCAACCAAGTCACCATCAAAAAAACTTATCAATCTACCAACTAATCGTGCTTTTGCGTTTTGTTGATGTGCTTGGTCGCTGTCCCAACCTAAAAGATTTCTCTATTTTTTGCAATTTTTTAGATGTATGCCATGCGTTAGTTGCCGTGTTTGGATCTATGGTCGCATGTATGACATCAATTACTCATATTGGGTCTTGCTCCCAACCTCGCGTAGCTTCCCTCTTTCCTCCAGCCTCGGCTTTGGTTTTCTCTTGGTCAATGAACTAAGAAATGTGGTCAACCTTAACTAGTCACCTAAGTATTGCTTTAGGGAGCATCAATTCTCTATCTTATGATTGGTTTCGCGATGGTAGGAGCATCTCAGGTCAAGGTTCATTTTCTCGAGATTGCAACCTAACTTGTTAGGCCATCTGAAATAAGGATTCCCCTTGATTTGAGATAAGATCGTGTAGATGGGCTATTGATTTCTAGCAAACAATGAGCAGGATTAAAACCTTCATTTTCCTTTCCTTTTATTACCAAATATGACTAATTATTTAGCCTCTCTCTGACGTTCTACTTCCTATTCAGCTAGTTGAAACCAACCTATCTATCAAGCTCATCGTCCACCTTTGAGTATTTTTCGACTCTTGCCATTAATTCTTCCATGTCAAGGATTGGTCACCTGGTCAATGATTGATACAACTGAGTCTCTATTGGCAAGTCGATCTTGAACGAGGCTATTGTAATTTTTCTGTTGCAGCCCTCTATTTCATTTCTCATTTCTAAGTAAGGATGAGCATACTTGCACAACGTCTCACCAGGATTTTTCTCATTGAGAGCAGTACTCTAATATCCTTCGAGTGTCGACTGTTGGTAATAAAGCAAGCTATGAATAGCTCGACCAATTGCACCCAACTATCAATAGAACTCTTGGGTAGACTGTCGTACCATTTCATACTTAATTCCCCTAAACTATTGTCAAACATTGTAGCATCAGTACCTTTTTTTTTTCCTGGACCGCCATCAATTGTCTATAGTGTCAAATGTGTATCGTCGGATCAGTTTGTGTATCGTACAATTTAAAATTTTGGAACATGAATTTGCTAGGGATTTTTTTCCTTCTCAATCCACTTAGTAAAGGGGGAAGCCTCCACGCCCCTGAAATACTCTCAAGTGGCCCTCCTAGTGAGCTTCATAGCGGATTTCTGCTCGAAAACGTCTCAACCTACTATCGAGTTCTTTGTTATAAAGCGTTTCCAAGCATTCTCCTATTCTTCCACCTGAGCTGATTTTCTTTTGTCATTCTTCTCTTGAGTATCCTCTCTTCGCCTCCCCTAGTTCCTATCAGGGCTAGGACTAGTGTTGGCCTAGGTATGTTCAACTTTGGCCCTGATCGTCTAGTGGTTTGACCTCTTAAGAACTTTTGAGTTCCGAGATTTCCTCAAGGTTTCCTTCAACGCCTCGTTCTCCCACCTAAGCCTTTCTTTTTCTACCTAGAATCTTTTTAGCGTGACATCATGGGCATAACATTGTTCTTGGAGAGATTGCACCAGTTTCATGAATGTTAAAAATTTCCCGTCTACACGTGGGGAGTTTTCTCGGTAGAGGGTAGTCCCCCCTGACTTCTTTCCGGGGATTGTACCTTCCTGACGTCCTTAGGACCCCTCAGGTTTTTGTCTGAACTTCGAACATCCTTCCTAATTTCACAGTTCGAAGGGAAATACACTTTTATAGTTACGTGCAGGGTCATATTCACTGGCACCTTGGTTATTGTGTGGTAACCATATTTCATAGGTTTGACATGACTTTTTTGCTAATTTCCCACAAACAACGCCAATTGTAAGTGATAAAAAACTCTCACCTTAATTTCTCAGAGTTTGATTGGGAAACAAGAATGTAGATTGCACCATTCTTACTGCAAAATGAGCAAACTACCAAAGATCGAACATGGGCTGGTTGGAGACACTCTGATACTTAAGTCAATACAAGTTTTATATATAGGCAAACTGAATAACAAGGAAGAAGTGTATACCTTTGACTCAAGCAGTCGCCCAATATTTATACTATCATATAATGTATCATCTTCTAGGATTTATCTCCTTTAATTACATTAGGTGACACACCTATAAAGACAACTAGATTCTTCGTCTCGTCCATCATTCCCTCATGACTTTCCTATTCTTTTTCACATTTATAATGTATGCCTATAATCGATTACAAATTTTCACTCAATTTGTTATTTTTTATGATCTTTTAGAATTGCCCTTTATTTTTAGGGGATTATTCTTCAAAAAAAGATTTCGATTAGCTTTGGTTTGACTTGGCAAATTTGTTAACATACTTTGATTTGAAGCTCGATACATCTTGCCGAGCCTTGAGGTGTTATGCTCGATCATGCTGAGCATTGAAATCTAATACTCAATTAATGGCTATCTTATTTCACTAGTTCAATCATGCACGATTATTTTATTTTAGACCTTTTTACCACTCATAAAAAAGGATTAAATAGGACAAAATTTGATCTGTCTAGACTTTAGAGGTACATTGGTCAGTAGTCGGGACTTTAAGAAGAATATCCGAGGGCTTTCGCGTAATATAATAGTCCACAAAAGGGCCATTCCGTCAATAAAACCAACAGGCGCCAACTGCCAACCAATCAACGTGTGACTGGTGTAAACTGCCGGCCGCACGAACTCCCAAACAATCCAAGTGAGAGAGAGACAAAAAAACAAGGCAACCTTCCAAAAAGCTCCTCCCCTTTCACTCCCCTCAGACAGAATCAGCATCCTCATGTTCATGGACTAGCTCCCAGTTCTCTCTCTCTCTCTCTCGTTGTTTCCATCGCTTACTGCCTCTCTCTCATGGCTTCAATCTCAGGCCTTTGTTCACCTTCTTCAACAATCAAACATGAAAAATTCACCCCAAAAACTTCATCAGCATCAGCTTCAGCTCATTCACAGCTATGGATTAGCAAAGACTCAATCACATTACCTAACAAATCGAAGCTCTTCGACCGATGTTGCAATCGGAGTTCAACGCTTATAGCTCAATCAGTCGCTCGTGACATAGCAGCGAGTCTGACTTCGACAAGCAACGATGCTTTACACAAGTCAAAGAAGGAAGGGCTAGAAAAAGATCCACAAGCTCTATGGAAAAGATACGTCGATTGGTTGTACCAGCACAAAGAATTAGGGCTCTTTTTGGATGTGAGTCGGGTTGGGTTCACGGACGAGTTCGTGGAGGAAATGGAGCCCAAGTTTCAGAAAGCGTTTAGGGATATGGTGGAGCTCGAGAAGGGGGCGATTGCGAATCCCGATGAGGGACGAATGGTGGGCCATTATTGGCTGAGAAATCCGAAACTCGCTCCGAATTCGTTTTTGAGGTTGCAAATTGAGAATACTCTTGAAGCCGTGTGCAAGTTCGCAGACGACGTCGTCAGCGGTAAGGTCAGTCAGTTCTTTCCGAGCTTTACACAGCGTCTTTGGTCAGTTTGTCTAACTGGGGGTTTGGCGTTCTGAGTATTTTCACGTTAAAATTGCAGATTAAGCCTCCATCTTCTCCGGAGGGTCGCTTTACACAAGTACTTTCTGTTGGGATTGGTGGTTCTGCTCTTGGACCACAGTTCGTTGCAGAGGCATTGGCTCCTGATAATCCTCCTCTCAAGGTATATGATCGCGTCATAGTGAAATATGAATGATGATTCTATTTTTTTACTGTCTTAATTTTCTGCAAATACTCTTGTTGGTATTCCTGATCCTCATTGCACATTTTATTAGTATTTCTCAACAGGATAGAACACTATTTTGGTAATTAAAAGAGATAAGTAGTGAAATATTATGAATTCAACATTATTCAACATATGCTGGTAGGGCCTGGGCTAGTGGTTCCATGATGCTCCTAGAGGCCAATTAACGTGTTGCCTCAGCATAGAAGAATTATTATCTTGCGAGTTGTGGGATAGTTTGATATAACATTTCTTGCAAACACCTGATGGATAGTGCGGAAATAATCTGACAAGCATTCATTAATTTGTTTTTGTACGCTATACTGTTGAAAATTAGCTGAAGAATATAATGCCATCATTCACTCCAATGAAGTGGGTTCATGGCTTAGCCTAGCTTAGCTTACTCAAATTATCACAAGATGCCAGTCCTCAAGTATTATAATAGACTATAATATCCCTATTATTGATTGGTGAACCACACTTTCTTCCTTTTTCAAATTTTAACCTTGATAGCATGCTATTTATGTTACAGACAAATCAAATGTTCAATTAATTTGCTTTGCTGTTACTATTTTGTGTCCTGTTTAAAATATATATTTCATATGTCAGATATTTTCTGCTAATCTAATAGTTGTTGACCTTTCATGGAAGTCACATGCTTCAGGGAACAAATTCCTTATAAGGATTAAGAGCTACTCATCAATCTCTATGCAGTGAAGTTTATGCCCTAACCATCATTTTTCCTTTTTTTGCCTGCGCCATAACCATCATTTGTGAATGGTATATCCTGGCAACTCAATGTTGTAGATGATCACTGATCCTACCACTCCTCCCCCTCCTTCCTTCTCTTATTAATGTTTATTGTCCTCTTGGCAGATAAGGTTCATTGACAATACGGATCCAGCTGGCATTGATCACCAAATTGCACAGCTTGGCCCTGAGCTGGCTTCTACTCTTGTAATAGTGATTTCAAAGGTCTGCATGAAACTATCCTACTTTTTTCAATTTAGTTGTTGTCAGGCAGCTTCCGAAGTATGTTGCTTACCTGATGCATTTGTTTATCATTTTTTGTTCACCATATTGTCTTAGAGTGGAGGTACTCCTGAAACCAGAAATGGTTTATTGGAAGTACAAAAGGCTTTTCGGGAAGCTGGCCTGGAGTTCGCGAAACAGGTTTTGATCTCAGGTTCTTGTTTCTACTTTTTCAGTTTCCCAGTTCGTCACATTGTAGGTGTAAATTACTTGAGTCACATGTAAAAATTGAGGTAAATATTAGCTTGACTGATATATTAAGTCCTGAAAATAAGTTTGAGCTATATTTTCATTTTCTAGGATAGGGATTCTTTTGTCTATTTATAATTTGTTGCTACTTTGTGGGCTCTTGTTATATTAAGAGTTTAAATGTTGAGCTCCACCATGGTTGAGTTTCAGTCACATGTAAAAATTCTCTTACCCTAGATATGGTACTTGGTTCTATCTCTTGCTTTAGACTTAAAAGAACTGGAAGTTGTACAATTACATTCTCTGATCCTGAGATGGATGATAAAAGATTATTCTTGCTGGTGCAAAGTTCCATGTTCCTAATTTAANCATTGATCACCAAATTGCACAGCTTGGCCCTGAGCTGGCTTCTACTCTTGTAATAGTGATTTCAAAGGTCTGCATGAAACTATCCTACTTTTTTCAATTTAGTTGTTGTCAGGCAGCTTCCGAAGTATGTTGCTTACCTGATGCATTTGTTTATCATTTTTTGTTCACCATATTGTCTTAGAGTGGAGGTACTCCTGAAACCAGAAATGGTTTATTGGAAGTACAAAAGGCTTTTCGGGAAGCTGGCCTGGAGTTCGCGAAACAGGTTTTGATCTCAGGTTCTTGTTTCTACTTTTTCAGTTTCCCAGTTCGTCACATTGTAGGTGTAAATTACTTGAGTCACATGTAAAAATTGAGGTAAATATTAGCTTGACTGATATATTAAGTCCTGAAAATAAGTTTGAGCTATATTTTCATTTTCTAGGATAGGGATTCTTTTGTCTATTTATAATTTGTTGCTACTTTGTGGGCTCTTGTTATATTAAGAGTTTAAATGTTGAGCTCCACCATGGTTGAGTTTCTGTCACATGTAAAAATTCTCTTACCCTAGATATGGTACTTGGTTCTATCTCTTGCTTTAGACTTAAAAGAACTGGAAGTTGTACAATTACATTCTCTGATCCTGAGATGGATGATAAAAGATTATTCTTGCTGGTGCAAAGTTCCATGTTCCTAATTTAACGAAAAATATGCTCAAAAAAGAAAAGGAATTAAGATAAATTGCAAACCTTTGTAATAGTTACTTTATTACGGGCATGCTAACTATTTAGTTTGATGGAGCATTAGGGATGGTTTGTGGTTGGGACGGTCCAGAGACAGAACCAAGATTTTATTTTAAGGGGGCCCAAATAATGGAATTGATAAAAAAAATTGTCCAATGGAAATATTTAATGATTATAGTTTACGATAAATTTCAATGTATAAAAACACCTATTAATGTTAATGTTATATAATGCCATTGTAAAAATTATTTTTGGGTCACAAAACCCAAAATTTGGCTTGTATCATATAAAAATTAGAGTAATGTTATTTGGACATAATTTTTTGGCTTTACTTGCTGATCAAATCATTCTATGTCATTAGATTAACAACAACCCCATTATTAGTTGGGACTTGCTATCAATTCAATGACTATGCATTAAGCCAACAAATTAGGTTCAAATAGTACTTTCTTCAAAATTAGTTTGTGACAATATCACCTTCATCTTTTTTCCTTATTTATAATATAACTTTATGACTATAAATAAATTATCCTCTTAAATTATAGTATCACATGATACGATAATAAAATCCACATTTGTAAAACAATTTTAAAGATTCTACTTGTTTTTTTCCCTATAGTTATCAAAATCATCCAAACAAGTATTTCTTCGTAATCATCCATGTGATTATATCCACCATTTGGTTATTAAATATCAAGTCATTAATTTTTTTGAGGACACTGAGTGAAGTATTTATACATTAGGTTTTTGGGAAATCTAAAGGGTTTCTAAAAATATATGGGGGTCTATGGAGATTTTTCAAAATGTGAGGGGGGCCATGGCCCCCAGGCCTATACATAGGTCTTTCTCTGGGTGGGACTACACTGTAATTGTCATTATCACACTGGTGGACTATATCCATGTTTCTACTGTATGTCAAAATAATGCTGAAATTTGATTTTGTATTTCCAAGGACAGTATTCTGGATATCTTTAGTTGTATAGGATAGATTATGGTACTCCAGGAGGCAGATTCTTTTTTCATTTGTTTGTATGTGCAATATGTTGCTTACTCATGTCCTTTTGCAGGGTGTGGCCATTACACAAGAGAATTCGCTACTAGATAACACTGCAAGAATTGAGGGTTGGGTAGCTAGATTTCCCATGTTTGACTGGGTTGGTGGTAGAACTTCTGAAATGTCTGCAGTTGGGTTNAGAATTCGCTACTAGATAACACTGCAAGAATTGAGGGTTGGGTAGCTAGATTTCCCATGTTTGACTGGGTTGGTGGTAGAACTTCTGAAATGTCTGCAGTTGGGTTACTTCCAGCAGCACTTCAGGTTGATGATCTTTAAATTCAGGCTTATTTTTTTTTTTTCCACATTCACGTTTTAAACTGCGTCATTCTCATTTTAAAATTACACTCATTTATTNTTACTTCCAGCAGCACTTCAGGTTGATGATCTTTAAATTCAGGCTTATTTTTTTTTTCCACATTCACGTTTTAAACTGCGTCATTCTCATTTTAAAATTACACTCATTTATTAATTCTCACTTCAGGGAATTGACATTAGAGAAATGCTTGCTGGTGCTTCATTGATGGATGAAGAAAATAGGACCACTGTGGTAAAGATCGCTTACTATTTTAATTTTTAAGTATATTGATCTTCTCTTGATGCTTTCATCAATTGTACGAGGGATAAAGGACTTTGTAAAATCTCGGGAAATGCTTCTTATTGTGAGGATTTTTTCTCTACCTTTTTCTGGCTACACGAGGGTGTTACTTGTGTTTGCAAGTCCTGACTCGTACTAAGTTACCTGTACGAAGTTGTATTCCTTCTGTGGGATTGGACTTGGATATTTTTTCCGGGAAAAGGAATAGTAAAGATAAATGAAGATTTGGCAGACAATAATAGATTAAGAAGTACTAAATAAACTGAGTACATGAACTATGAGACAAAAGAGATGTTTATGGACATATATATGTGTAACTAGGAAAGTGTAGATAAGATTTTTATGACTTTTTCTTTTAAGTGTGACAAAAACCAATTCTGGATTTAGTCATATTGAAAATGATGTTCACATTCAACAGTGTGCATCTACACTTCAGTAATTTTTAGGAAGGACCTTAATCTTGGCTCAATTTTATGCAGTAAGTTTTTGCTTTTGAAGGGTGTCTCATTCTGATTGAATATCTATGGCATAGATGGTTATTGATACAAAAATCTATGCATCCTAGAACCCCTTTTATTTGGAGTGTAGCATTTGTATTATTAACTAAGAGTACCCCATTCCCTTCTTGATGGATTGATAGAGCTTTATAGTATTTTGTTTGATACGAGGAAAGCCACAGGCTCCAGTTTTTTCTTTACTGCTAGTAACTGTAGTGCCTTTTCAGATGATTAATTATAACAAACTTTAGGAGAGATAGGATAGCTAACTCTGACATGATGTCATGCTAATTTATCAACTGTGATTTCCCTTTCCATATTTGGATGTGCTTCCCTTCAGTATACAAGGGGAAAATACAAAAAAATTGAAGAATAACGGAAAGTTCTCCTCTTGTTGATATCTTGGTTCAGCTCAAGAAAAACCCTTCAGCATTGCTTGCTTTATGCTGGTATTGGGCTTCTGATGGAATAGGATCCAAGGTGTGAAGTACTTAACTTCATTCTTCATCTGAATCTTGTCCAGGCAGTGCCACATTGCAGTTCCACCCATGAAATACCTCTGCTTTTGTTTTGTGTCTCTCCGCAGGATATGGTTATCCTTCCTTACAAGGATAGCCTTTTGTTATTTAGTAGGTATTTGCAGCAGCTGGTCATGGAATCACTTGGGAAGGAGTTTGACCTGGATGGTAATCGGGTATGTTTCACTGTCTTCTTAGAAATTCTTCCTTCATCCATGTTTTAGTGGACTGAGCTGATGACCTGATATATTACTTCTTTATCAAATTGCCGTGTTAATTGATACTATTAAAGCACCTCGAGCAATTTGTTTAATGTTGTTTTTTTCTTTCTGTTTTCTTGCCTGGTGAAGGCTGTTGATCTCATTTCATGTGTGATTGGGTTTCTGTATGGGATTGTTCCTTATTAGTTTGTGACAGAAGATGACAGCGGTTTCGGTGGATTTATTTTTTATCTTTCTTTGAAAAATCCACACCCACCCTATTCCCATTTATTTCTGTGTTAATAATATCTACAGAAGTGGGTGGGGGAATGTGGGCAATATGTTGTGCCATATTTCAATCTACATTGTTCTCAACTTCTTTTATGAGCCAAAACAATACCTTGATGTCTCTAGTAAATGAAGTCTCTCTGATGTTCAAGAATTAGGCACTATTAGGAATCTAGTTTTATGTCTTGATTCATGTATCTTCTACTCACACTCTTTTAACTGAAAATTTAGAAGAAAAAAAATGGAGTATGAGATTTGTTTTGGCTGCTCTCATATTTGAATCTACTCGGTAAAAAATAATGTCAAAGGTTGTATCTGTATCTAGTCCATCACATCCCGCACTAACAAGGACCTTAACTTGGTGATGACTCTGTTTTCTCCACACACACACNAAGAAAAAAAATGGAGTATGAGATTTGTTTTGGCTGCTCTCATATTTGAATCTACTCAGGTAAAAAATAATGTCAAAGGTTGTATCTGTATCTAGTCCATCACATCCCGCACCCTTGACTAACAAGGACCTTAACTTGGTGATGACTCTGTTTTCTCCACACACACAAAAAAAAAACTTGTACTTCCAAATGTTGAGTTTTGTTTTTAATGCCAATGTTGCACTTCAATTGATCAAGGCATTTGCAATATTCAAATATATCTATGCAAGAGATTACTACCCCTCTTCACAAAAGGCAGCATACATCTTGTTCTAGATATATCCCTTTTCCTACTCCCTACGGCGGATAAAGGAAATAACGGCGTCTTAGTTTCCCATCCACTGCGTAGGTACCTAAACAGTCACCTTTGTACATGTCATCTTTTGTGGTAAACATGGTATAGCTTATGCTCATTTTAGTGTTGAACTGTTGATACTGATCGGATATGTAGCACTTGCGAAATGGTGGAAGGGCAACTCGGTTCCTGTTTTTTGCTTTAATTTTACTAGGCATGCCCTCTGCAAACTGTTTTTTTGTATGTCAGTTTGTCTTTTTGCTTTGAGTGGGATTCTATTTCCAATGAAAATGTTGCAGACCTTCTTGTTTTAATTTAAACATTGACCTATTATACTATAGCCCATAACTTTTTCATGACAGGTGAATCAAGGACTAACTGTCTATGGAAATAAAGGAAGCACAGATCAGCATGCGTGAGTAATGTTTGTGTTTAGTAATTTATATTACATTTCTGTGGATGTAGACCATAGTTAGACCTTTCATATCCTTGTCTACAGCTACATTCAGCAACTGCGGGAGGGTGTGCACAACTTCTTTGTGACATTCATTGCAGTACTACGTGATAGACCCCCTGGTCATGATTGGGAGCTTGAACCAGGGGTCACTTGTGGTGACTACCTGTTTGGAATGCTACAGGTTGGTTTTCTAATCCATTTATTAATCTTGTAATTTTTTGAATGCCATGGGTTAGTTTTAACCTGCAATTCAATCCATCATTCTATGTTGAAATCCGTTTCATGACACATTACACCAGTGAAACCAGTAACCCAACTATATTGATGATTCCATCCTGTAGATGAACGTTAAATCTTGTTGTTCAACATAGTAAAATGTGTCTGTTTCCTTGCAAGAGTTATTCCTGAAACTGATTTTATGTTTCTGCAGGGAACAAGGTCTGCTCTGTATGCCAATAACCGGGAGTCCATTACAGTCACTGTGCAAGAAGTGACACCTAAATTGGTGGGGGCTCTAATAGCACTTTATGAGCGAGCAGTTGGCATTTACGCCGCACTGATCAACATCAATGCTTACCACCAACCAGGTGACTATATTTTCCTTATGGCTTCCCATGGAATATTGGATCAGAAACTTAGAATAAAATGTTCTTCAGTTAAATCATATGTTTTGCATCAAGCAGTGCATCCTAAATGATGATTAATGCTTACTGGACTGAATAAAATGATAGACGTTTCTTTTTCCAATTTTATTCCTTCCATGCATGTGACTAACCTTTTGTTGCATCAGGTGTGGAAGCTGGCAAAAAAGCAGCAGGAGAAGTTTTAGCTCTTCAGAAACGCGTTCTTGCAGTACTCAATGAGGCTAGGTATGCTGACATTATTTCATAAACATGACGGTCTGTGATGTTTTGTGCATTTTTTCAAATGATAAGGCCCAAGCCTAAGCCAATCATGTTTAATATGATGTCATAAATATTGTATACTCAAACTTTGGTTGAATGGGGTTGGTTGGGTGCAAAGTGTATGGAAGTGTTTGATGGGATGTGGAGTAGTTGGCTAAAGGTGTAAGAACTTCTAGATGCCAGCTATCCAACTTTGGTTGTATCTGGCACGCATCTTATGATTACTCTTATGGTGATCTTCGTATTTTCAGTATAGCAAATTGTTCCAGCATTCCCTATTTTTTTTTTTGGAAATGCAGCATTCCCTGTTTAGAAGTGCACTTTATAGACTGTTTTTGTCTTTAGTTCCTCCAGTCTGGTGTATGTAAATTTTGTGCAAAAACAAACAGGTCTAAACATGTCTTAACTGCCTAAAACCACCCATGAGTTCTCNGACTGTTTTTGTCTTTAGTTCCTCCAGTCTGGTGTATGTAAATTTTGTGCAAAAACAGGTCTAAACATGTCTTAACTGCCTAAAACCACCCATGAGTTCTCTTGTGTAGCAGAAACTTAACTGGTGACTGAAACTAGGGAAAAGAGAATCCTCTGGGGCATGTATTCTGGCCAATTAAGGTGTCTGATTGTGATTTCACGGACCATAAAAAAGATGGCCACAGCCATCTTGTAAGATGTAAATGCAATTACCTCCTAATTTCATTTCTTTTGTTTGCATTGTTGAGAGTAGGTTCGTCACTAACTACTGGTATTGTGTTTTTTATGGTTTTTCCAGCTGCAAAGAGCCTGTTGAACCATTAACACTTGAAGAAGTAGCTGAGCGTTGCCATACTCCTGAGGATGTACATACTACTACTCTATGACTAGTTGCATCTATAAAAGCTATTATTTATGTTGGTATCTTCATGCTGCATAACAAACTGCACTTTTTAAACCCTTTTTCTTTCCATTTGTGGTAGCAGATTGAAATGATTTACAAGATTGTTGCTCACATGGCTGCCAATGACAGAGTGATCATCGCTGAGGGAAATTGTGGTTCACCGCGAAGCATTAAAGTTTTCCTTGGGGAGTGTAATATTGATGAATTGTAAGCATAAGTTGCACACACAATAATCATCCATCGGCTTTATGAGTCAATAAGTTCACACAAAAACGATCCTGTCAACTGGTTTTGACATCAAATTATGTTCTGCATGTTGATAAGTGAGAACCAAGGATACTTCATTATATTATGAGGATATTTTTTGGAGTCATCCATGAACACGTATTTGCCTTCTGATCTTGGCTTGGCCTTTTGTTTTTGAAATGTTATTGTTTTCTTTTTCCAATAACTGGATGTTTGGCTTAGCAGCTGACACCTCCAAGAGTTTGCTGCAGACTGTGGTAATGCAAGACCATTTTTGAGAGCATGACATTTCTGCTATTGCTGGGTTTGAGAGGTAATATGTATACGGTCATGCAAACAAATTGTTACATGATTTCGATTCGACCCATGTCACCCTCTCCTCCTGCGTGGTCTTGTGGTGGGGGGACTTACTGGTTTACGGATTATTGCCGGTCACTAATTTCTTAAAAGAAAGCGTATTGCTAAACGGATCAAAGTACAAATTTGATTGTTATGGTCCCTTTTATGATGAGAAATTTAAATCAAGGAAAAGTACAAGGTAATATGTCTTGTTGTTGGACACCATGTGAGACATGTCATGCACCTTCATGTATTCAAATTCACGGCTGTGATGGGGCTACCAGCATGTGACATGTTGAGGAAATTATGCGGGGGTTCAAAGCAAATTGAAACTCAACCTTGGCAAAATTTCAAAAGTAATGCTACGAATTTCAAATTTTGGAACTAAAAAAATGAAAAATTAGAGATATAGATAATATATAATGATTGGTAAGAATAAAAAAATAGGAAGAATGAAAAAGTAGATGAATAAACTTTCATTATAATTCACTAAAATCAATTACTCCAAAATTCTAAGAAAAAGTGGAACGTGTATTGAAATGTATTTTATTTGTCTATATATCATATTCATCAATTAAATATTATGTATACATTAATTTTATTTTTATAATAAGATACCTAACAAGTTGAAATTTATCCCCTATACATTTTTTTTCTAAAAAATATCTCATTATTTATTTTTTATCACATGCTTAATTATTTTAATATTTGCTTAATTTATAATTTAATATGTTTTTTATTTCGAACATTATCCATATACGATAGTATACATATATTGATAAAATTTTATCGGATTACGTATTTTGAAAAAATATTGTCGATTTTTTAAAGAAAATAATGGATACACATAGATTTTAAATAATGTAATCAAAAAAATGAATGAAATAAAAATTATTATTTAATATAGTGAGATAAAAAATTTTTGGCACTCAAATTTTTTATTTTATTGTGTCTTCAGACACGAGTTATAACTAGTATATATATATATATAATATGTACTTATATTTTTTTCTAAAAAATTTTTCTTTCATCTTACCAAATACAAAAAAATAATTATTTCTACTTTCCATCTTTTTTATCAAACACAAAAAAAGAACAAAATAATTCATCTCTTAAAATATAGAAAATATATCACTTTCATTTTTTAACCTCCTATTTTTTTATTTATCCTATCAAATGGATCATTAAATTAATAGGCCCGTATAGTGTGTTCCCAATTTTCAAACTCACCGCAGTCTATGATTACGACCCACTGTCGACTACAACAAAGACTTATTAGATTAGTGGTTTAAGAGAAAAAGATAGACAATGCGGTGTCGTGTCACTATCGGACGTTTTGAAATTACCTAATGATTGGGCTGCACTCTACAAAACTGAACCTGCTTAAATGTCATTTATGCACAATCTGACTATAACTTTGAGCTAATCCCATAGTTCAAGTTTACAAAATTAGAGAAAAAAAGAAAAAAAAACAAAACAAAACTCATAATTTTCAGGTACATGTAAGCTATTCTTTCCATATGCATCAGTTAATTATAAGATTAAATTCTTAATTTGATCAAAGAGGAACTTTAAATCAGAGTTTTTACATTTACTATAATTCATACCGACCAACTTTCACATTTGAATTCACACGAGATAACTCAAAGGTTAGATAAGGGTGAGACATAAAATTACGCATTATGAGAATAAATCTCTTTAATTATATAAAATCAAAACTTAATTTATATATGTGATTTACGTGCGATTAGATGCATCCAATTTTTATGTGGTAACCATAAGTTAAAAAACTGTATGCTTGGAATGATTCCTTGTTTAAGATTTTTTATTTATTTATCTAGTTTGAATGTAAAACATTATTGTATTTCAGAACCTANAGAAGTAGCTGAGCGTTGCCATACTCCTGAGGATGTACATACTACTACTCTATGACCAGTTGCATCTATAAAAGCTATTATTTATGTTGGTATCTTCATGCTGCATAACAAACTGCACTTTTCAAACCCTTTTTCTTTCCATTTGTGGTAGCAGATTGAAATGATTTACAAGATTGTTGCTCACATGGCTGCCAATGACAGAGTGATCATCGCTGAGGGAAATTGTGGTTCACCGCGAAGCATTAAAGTTTTCCTTGGGGAGTGTAATATTGATGAATTGTAAGCATAAGTTGCACACACAATAATCATCCATCGGCTTTATGAGTCTATAAGTTCACACAAAAACGATCCTGTCAACTGGTTTTGACATCAAATTATGTTCTGCATGTTGATAAGTGAGAACCAAGGATACTTCATTATATTATGAGGATATTTTTTGGAGTCATCCATGAACACGTATTTGCCTTCTGATCTTGGCTTGGCCTTTTGTTTTTGAAATGTTATTGTTTTCTTTTTCCAATAACTGGATGTTTGGCTTAGCAGCTGACACCTCCAAGAGTTTGCTGCAGACTGTGGTAATGCAAGACCATTTTTGAGAGCATGACATTTCTGCTATTGCTGGGTTTGAGAGGTAAGATGTATACGGTCATGCAAACAAATTGTTTCATGATTTCGATTCGACCCATGTCACCCTCTCCTCCTGCGTGGTCTTGTGGTGGGGGGACTTACTGGTTTACGGATTATTGCCGGTCACTAATTTCTTAAAAGAAAGCGTATTGCTAAACGGATCAAAGTACAAATTTGATTGTTATGGTCCCTTTTATGATGAGAAATTTAAATCAAGGAAAAGTACAAGGTAATATGTCTTGTTGTTGGACACCATGTGAGACATGTCATGCACCTTCATGTATTCAAATTCACGGCTGTGATGGGGCTACCAGCATGTGACATGTTGACGAAATTATGCGGGGGTTCAAAGCAAATTGAAACTCAACCTTGGCAAAATTTCAAAAGTAATGCTACGAATTTCAAATTTTGGAACTAAAAAAATGAAAAATTAGAGATATAGATAATATATAATGATTGGTAAGAAAAAAAAAATAGGAAGAATGAAAAAGTAGATGAATAAACTTTCATTCTAATTCACTAAAATCAATTACTCCAAAATTCTAAGAAAAAGTGGAACGTGTATTGAAATGTATTTTATTTGTCTATATATCATATTCATCAATTAAATATTATGTATACATTAATTTTATTTTTATAATAAGATACCTAACAAGTTGAAATTTATCCCCTATACATTTTTTTTCTAAAAAATATCTCATTATTTATTTTTATCACATGCTTAATTATTTTAATATTTGCTTAATTTATAATTTAATATGTTTTTTNCACATCATTTATTTTTATCACATGCTTAATTATTTTAATATTTGCTTAATTTATAATTTAATATGTTTTTTATTTCGAACATTATTCATATACGATAGTATACATATATTGATAAAATTTTATCGGATTACGTATTTTGAAAAAATATTATCGATTTTTTAAAGAAAATAATGGATACACATAGATTTTAAATAATGTAATCAAAAAAATGAATGAAATAAAAATTATTATTTAATATAGTGAGATAAAAAATTTTTGGCACTCAAATTTTTTATTTTATTGTGTCTTCATATACGAGTTATAACTAGTATATATATATAATAATATAATATGTACTTATATTTTTTTCTAAAAAATATTTCTTTCATCTTACCAAATACAAAAAAATAATTATTTCTACTTTCCATCTTTTTTATCAAACACAAAAAAAGAAAAAAATGATTCATCTCTTAAAATATAGAAAATATTTCACTCTCATTTTTTAACCTCTTATCTTTTTATTTATCCTATCAAATGGACCATTAAATTCATAGGCCCGTATAGTGTGTTCCCAATTTTCAAACTCACTGCAGTCTATGATTACGACCCACTGTCGACTACAACAAAGACTTATTAGATTAGTGGTTTAAGAGAAAAAGATAGACAATGCGGTGTCGTGTCACTATCGGACGTTTTGAAATTACCTAATGATTGGGCTGCACTCTACAAAACTGAACCTGCTTAAATGTCATTTATGCACAATCTGACTATAACTTTGAGCTAATCCCATAGTTCAAGTTTACAAAATTAGAGAAAAAAAGAAAAAAAACAAAACAAAACAAAACTCATAATTTTCAGGTACATGTAAGCTATTCTTTCCATATGCATCAGTTAATTATAAGATAAAATTCTTAATTTGATCAAAGAGGAACTTTAAATCAGAGTTTTTACATTTACCGTAATTCATACCGACCAACTTTCACATTTGAATTCACACGGGATAACTCAAAGGTTAGATAAGGGTGAGACATAAAATTACGCATTATGAGAATAAGTCTCTTTAATTATATAAAATCAAAACTTAATTTATATATGTGATTTACATGCGATCAGATGCATCCAATTTTTATGTGGTAACCATAAGTTAAAAAACTGTATGCTTGGAATGATTCCTTGTTTAAGATTTTTTTATTTATTTATCTAGTTTGAATGTAAAACATTATTGTATTTCAGAACCTAACAAATGAAATTTGTTCATAAAACGATTTGTTAGAAGAATTCTATGAGAAAAGGGACAGTTTAGAATGGTGGAGGTGGGGCAGGATGGGCGGCGTAGGGAATAAAAGAACCAACAAAAACCAATAGCCGCATGTTCAAAAATTTCAAATTAAAGTTCTTTTTGTCGTATGGTCCAACACAGGTGTCAAATGGAATTACAAAATTGGGCAAACAATCTTTAAATTTACAGTAATCTTTGGACCTATTATCAATTAAATAATTGTAATAAATTAAATCAAATCACAGCCCCGACTCATAGGGTCTGTTTGGTTAGGAAAAAAAAAATATAAAAAGTGAAGTAAAATAAAAAAAAATGATAAAAAATATATTTTCATGCATCTATTTGGTTAGAAAAANCCGTTTGGTTAGGAAAAAAAAAATGATAAAAAGTGAAGTAAAAGAAAAAAAAATAATAAAAAATATATTTTCATGCATGTATTTGGTTAGAAAAAAAAATTCATTTTATTGTTTGAAAGAAATGAAAGTTATAAGAAATTTTTTATAATTATATAAATTACCCTTAATTATATTAAATTAGTCTAAAAAGAAAAAAATTGTATAATTATAATTGAAAGTTAAATTTTTTTTAAAAAGTGTCTTGAAACCTAATTGTAGGACAATCACCAACACAAATATCTTTGGGCCAAATTATACGATTAATGAAATTCAAACCAAATTTTTTTTTTAAATTAATAACTAATAAAATATTTTTAAAAAAATAAGGGTAAAATATGAAACTAGTTATAGATTACAATTTTCTTCCATTTCCTTATATTTTTTACAAGAAAAAAGTTAGTTATTTGTGAGAAAATTCAAGTNACCACAAATATCTTTGGGCCAAATTATACGATTAATGAAATTCAAACCAATTTTTTTTTTAAAATTAATAACTAATAAAATATTTTTTAAAAAATAAGGGTAAAATATGAAACTAGTTATAGATTACAATTTTCTTTCATTTCCTTATATTTTTTACAAGAAAAAAGTTAGTTATTTGTGAGAAAATTCAAGTATGAAATAAAATTATTTTTTTCTATCATTTTCTTTTTCATACTAACCAAACATATTAAAATTTTAAAAAATTTATCTTTTTTGTATTTTCTACTATTCTCCTGGTAAACAAATGAACCCTAAGAGATGCAGCAGTGGAGAATTTTTTGCCATTGGTAAAAGAATGACGGAATAATTAAATTCTTTATAGTATTATCGTTAAATTGACTAGGGTGACCATAAGTTAAGAGCATGATCTTCAAAAATAAAAAAAATCCCACCCACTTGTCACCCAATGCATAAAATTACATAAGAATTGTGGTTGGATATATTAATAAAACTTAAATAAATATGTGATTAGAATGGTTGGTTGTAAAAAAGAAAAAATATGTCATTTGTGATTAAAATTTGCCCCATCACCCTTTTATTTATTTATTTATTTTTCCCTTGAATTTTATGCATGTAGTTCTAGCGTAATGTGCATGACATGGTTGGTGTAACTAATGAAACCAAGTAATTCAATACACAAGCAAAAGGAGTTAACCGCCAACTACCACCCACCATGAATAAAATATTAAACTTATTTCAAATGATTGATTTTTTTTCCCCAACAAATTCAGTCAATGACAATAGATTCATGAACTTGAAGGGTGGCTTAGTGAATATCAGAAACTTGAAAACTCCCCTAAGACCAGACACGAGGGATTTATTTGTTTGAATTANTCCCCAACAAATTCAGTCAATGACAATAGATTCATGAACTTGAAGGGTGGCTTAGTGAATATAGTGACCAATTATCAGAAACTTGAAAACTCCCCTAAGACCAGACACGAGGGATTTATTTGTTTGAATTATTTACTCTTTTCGGCATAAAAAACATGTCTTTGATGGGAAAAAAAATTATTCAATGTGTATATATTGATTGAAATATTTTTGATTGTAATACTTAAAAAAAAAAGAAGACAATTCATAATATAAAATATAACAGATTTTAATAAATTCATCCCACAGTCTTAAATAAACTAATTTAACTGTCACCAATATTATTCTCAAAATTATTTATATTGCACCGTACATTGGGACACGAAATTTCCTAATAGATTGGTATGANCATCCGACAGTCTTAAATAAACTAATTGAAATGTCACCAATATTATTCTCAAAATTATTTATATTACACACGAAATTTCCTAATAGATTGGTATGAGCAAACCTTTCGGTTGGCTCCCCTTCTATTCCCTGTAATCANAGAAGACAATTCATAATATAAAATATAACAGATTTTAATAAATTCATCCCACAGTCTTAAATAAACTAATTTAACTGTCACCAATATTATTCTCAAAATTATTTATATTGCACCGTACATTGGGACACGAAATTTCCTAATAGATTGGTATGAGCAAACCTTTCGGTTGGCTCCCCTTCTATTCCCTGTAATCACTTAATTAAATAGTTAATTGATTTAATTAATTAATTTTGGATACTACTTAAAAAACAATTTAGAAACCAGTCATCAGTCAATAGATTTAATCCGGGATTTGCAAAAAGGATCCATTAATGGTATGGGGCCCACACAGCTGATCGAGGGTATTTTAGGAAATCATCCACACCGAATTACCACAGAGAGAGAGAGAGTACTATGGGGCCTACACAGCATGTGACCGATTCTTAAATAAGCGGGAAAACTAGACTAAAAGGCGTTCCCACTACAACGTTCGACTCGCTGCTTTATAGCTCAAAANCCAAACAGGATCCATTAATGGTATGGGGCCCACACAGCTGATCGAGGGTATTTTAGGAAATCTTCCACACCGAATTACCAGAGAGAGAGAGAGAGTACTATGGGGCCTACACAGCATGTGACCGATTCTTAAATAAGCGGGAAAACTAGACTAAAAGGCGTTCCCACTACAACGTTCGACTCGCTGCTTTATAGCTCAAAAATCGGGCCCACCTCTTCGCCACGTCAGCCTCTTCCCTACCCCATTACGCCTTTTCCATAGCACACACCTCAACGTGCCTTTTTTATTTTCGGAATTTTCATTTAAATTTAAAGGTAGTACTTAGTACAGCGTCGTATTACTGTTTCAGACGACATCGTTTCTGTGCCATACTTGATACTTTTACTTTTACTCCACCGAACGGTCTACAGATTTATGGTGCTAATTGATAGAGATAGAGAGAGAGACCGAGGAAGGACGGAGGGAGGGAGGGAGAGAGAGAGAGAGAGATCAGAAACCCAACCTTATTGCGGAAGAGCTTTGTGTCATTGTGTGTACTCCTCTGAGTCTGCTCAGAGCAAGAAGAACTGAAACCAAAAGGGTTTCCTGGGAGCACGCAGAAGAGCTTTTTCTTGCCTTCCCAATCTCTCACACTTCAGTCTTTAACAGTTGATCTCTCTCTAGATCAGATTTCAGTTCAGTGCTCTCTCTACAACCCTTATTTTCTCTCTTTCTCTCACTCTGCAGCGTGTGTGTGTGTTGGGAGGGGGGGGATTGTGTGTATATATAGATGTGAATATTGTTCCACATTATTCTGATTTGGTTTTTTTGTCTTGGGAGTTAGGTAACAGATCGGCATTGAGACCCTGGAGTTGGATTCGTATAGTGTTTTAATGTGTTTGGCGAAGCATTGAGCAAATATGTTCACTGAAGGCCTAGATAACAATGCCCTTAAATGGGTGAGAGAGGTCAGCCTCACTTACTCAGTTCAGAATCTTTCTTTTTTTTTTTGAATTTTAATTTTTTCAATGTTTTGGGTATCTGTTGAATTACTTCAATTTTAAAGATCCAAAATTAATTGTTGTTTTCTCAATCTTAAGCATATGGGTGATTGTTTAATTTGAATGCATTATGAAATATTTGAAATTGAATTCAAATTCAGGGATGTTCATTTGTTTGTTTTTTCTTTCTCCGAATGGTGCTTGTGATATGATTTCGCATCAGGGCGAATGTTTCTGTATTTATCTTACTGATTGTTTACGAAATTCAATTTCAACTTCAGGGTTCTGTCAATCAGAAAAAGGAAGTTCCCTCTTCAATGTCCTACCAAAGACCTCGAATCGATCCTGTTTCTAACATCAGAACTGGTGGTAGAGGTTTTGGACTACCTCCTCCATCAAAATTCCGAAGTGGGCACTTTTCAGGTGTAATTCCGGTGTCCAGAGTTATTCCTGGTGATATAGATAATAGTGGGTCAGCTTCGGACAATGACATGACTACGGATTCGGAGGAAGAGGAGGTTTATGGGGGAAGATACTCTCTTGATTCATCACCACAGGACGATAGAGTTCCCAGCAGCGCAGGCGCTCACAGATACTACAGTACTGCTGCACAAAGGCTGCCACAATATGCCAGTGATAGTATGTTCTCCGACGATGTTAGTTCGTCGAGAGAAACAATTGGGGGAGGTCATGGCCACGTGGCGGAGAGACTCATGAGGGGAGCCAATAGATACCCTGTTGGAAGCAGTGTTCATACGGAGGATGAATCTTCAGATTCCGGTGGCTCTGAGTTTTCAACCACACAAGTTGGTAGCAAAAATGGAGCTTTTGCCACGACGAAAGCTTATGTTTCAGAGGGGTATGCATCCAGTCTCCCTTCACAGGTGACTCTGGAAAGTGCTGCAGAAAAGGTATCTTATGCTTTAAGTATACTTTGGATTGGATTTCAAGAGTTGAATAACTACTGATAGTGTAGATGTTGTGTGTTTGATGTATTTTGAATTTAAGAATGGTATCATTACTTGATTTATACTTAGATAGGTGTTTCCTGATGACTGTCTAGTCCTTGTTTTATAGCTAGTTCCCGTACAATACTCAATGCATTGCATCGGTTATGTAGTTTAAGATATCTGCATAAATGTATTTTGGGGCTAAGCTACATATTATTTATGCATATTTTATTGTGCTTCTGTATATCCATTTGTTTAAATGTGTATTGACCATTCTTTTTGGATTTTTTGGCACTTTTTTGTGTCATTAGTAGTAATTTTTATCGTCCTTAAGATATCTAATATCTGAGGGTATTGGAAGGTTAAGCTTGATGACGTAAAACGCAAACCAATGACCTCCAACTGCATTTGTGTATAGCAAACAGGGATGAGTACATTATCCTTTTGTAATGTTTATTCGTATATGTTAGTAGAAAAGTTGCACTTTCTGACTTCTATGGGCCATGAGTTGAAATTGACGACTTGAAAGCCTGGAAAATTTGAAATTCATTCCTTTGTGTAGATGCACCAATATTTTTCCATGTTTATATGTGATAACCAGATAGCGAATCATTGTGATTAAAATGTTTATCTATCCCTTCCCTAGAGGCTAGGACATAGAACGGTTCAACCCTTATGTAATCAGGTTCTCATATCTAATGTGGGAATGAGTAAGGTCAGTTTCATCTAGTTACTCTAATCCTCAAGTATTATGGTAGGTGGTCACAGTTCAATTGTAAATATTACTTTTTTCTTATTTTGTACCCCAAAACAATGTTTTTACCTGACATTTGATGCAAGACATTCATAAATTCCAAAATATCCATGGGCAAGATGGACACATTGACATAAAAGTGACATTATATTTGGTGAATTTGAAGCATTTCAATCCCTTTCAAGCAATAAGCATATTGAGTATATTTCTTTGGGTAATTGAGAAACAAAACGGACACATAAGATGCCCAAAGTTATCTCAAGTTTTGTCCTCAAGGACGTGAAGCATTTGAAGGGACCATGGAAAATTGTAATTTATGAAGCAAACTCTGACTAAGGGTGTTTTATGTTTATTTAAGTCTTCATTACTTATTGCATGTTGTCNAATTATCTCAAGTTTTGTCCTCAAGGACGTTAAGCATTTGAAGGGACCATGGAAAATTGTAATTTATGAAGCAAAATCTGACTAAGGGTGTTTTATGTTTATTTAAGTCTTCATTACTTATGNTTATGTATTTTGAATTTAAGAATGGTATCATTACTTGATTTATACTTAAGATAGGTGTTTCCTGATGACTGTCTAGTCCTTGTTTTATAGCTAGTTCCCGTACAATACTCAATGCATTGCATCGGTTATGTAGTTTAAGATATCTGCATAAATGTATTTTGGGGCTAAGCTACATNTGTAGATCAGCTTGTTGATGTTGTAATGCTTTTTGCCAACCTTTGTATGAATTTTCTGTATTTAACTAGATATTGCCCTGCTAAGATGATCTCTCTTTTGCAGCATTTAAGCGCTATAAACTTGCAAAACCAGAAGCCTTCTGATGATGATGTTCCCAGTGCACCTCCATTGCGTGGTTCTGCTGGGGAAATCAAGCAAGATGCAGTGCAAATTCCAATGTCTTTTAAACCACAAGATAATCCTCCAAAGGATATTCCTGGCGCGTCTGTGAGGTTTGCATTATACATTATTGGTTTACTAGACTAATACATTTTGTGGTAACATGGTGTGCTTTCAAAAACACAGTTACTTTATTCATTGCAGTTTGAGATAAGATAGTCCCTTGTGTTTGTTTCACAGGACTTCTGCTGGTCTGGAAGCTGGTGTGCCTTCGGGTTCTTTTCCTACTCGTCTTCCCACATTTCATGCAAGGTATTTCTTCTTACTGTATAAATAGAGGTCATCTGTATAGCATCAATTGCATATGCCCTTGATTTTACGTTGCTTGTCTGTTTCGTGAATTAAATTCAGCTCATTAGGGCCATGGCATGCTGTAATTGCATACGAGGCATGTGTTCGGCTTTGCCTTCATTCCTGGGCAAAGGGTTGCATGGAAGCTCCCATATTTTTGGAGAATGAGAACGCCCTGTTACGAAATGCATTTGGGTGAGCTATCTTTTCAATAGTTCATTTACAATATCATAATTTCCGTTCTGATAATTTATATTAAAGTAAATGAGTTGATGGGGTGTTCTTGAAGCTTTTTGGATGAGTTTCTCTATATAAATAAGAGAAAAGGAGAAAATTATGTTCAAAAAAATCAACTTGAGTCATGTTTTTCTGTTACAGATAACACTTTCCTAATCTTTTATCTGTTATATGACATCAGATTGCAGCAAGTCTTATTACAATCAGAGGAGGAATTGCTGGTGAAGCGATCTTCGGAGCTTGCTACTGAGGGAGCTGCCCCAAAACCTAAGAAAATGGTTGGGAAGATGAAGGTTCAAGGTACTGTTTCATATCCGCATTGTACATTCTCAGTGGTTGTGTTGTTGGTAATGAAACTGTCCTGAAATTTTGTTCATTCTGCAGTTAGGAAGGTGAAAATGGCCATGGACCCGCCTACAGGCTGCAGTTTTTCATCCCTGAAAGCACCAAAAATAAAATTGGATTCCGTCCGATATCACTTCTCCAATTTAAAGTCCACGATCTCTTCTGGATGGCAAGCAGTTAGAAAAATCCGATTTGCGCCTCGTCTACCCGCAAATGGTTCTTTTCCACGCCAGAGTTTGGCATATGTGCAGGCAAGCACTCAATATATAAAACAAGTTTCTGGGCTTCTCAAAATTGGTGTAGGCACTCTACGCAGCAGTTCCTCATCGTATGAAGTTGTGCAAGGTATGTGAAATTTAAGCCATGTATCATTTATGAGCATCGCACAACTCTTGTCTCTTGTTAAGGCAGAACTTTTAGTCATCCAAGCTGCAAATGCTGAAGATTTGGGCTCTCCCTCCTTGATAATTATTGAGAATCTAATATTTTAGAGGATGCTCATTTACAAGCCTGGCCAAAACTAACTTTGTAAAGTTATATCATTGACATGTTGATGGCTGATTACTGACTACAACAGTCTATTAGTTTGCAACTCTCACTCAACATNATCTAACTTTGTAAAGTTATATGATTGACATGTTGAACTCATTGATGGCTGATTACTGACTACAACAGTCTATTAGTTTGCAACTCTCACTCAACATTATATGTGTCATCAGAGACATACTCTTGTTTGCTACGCTTGAAAAGTTCAAGTGAAGAGGATGCTATTCGGATGCAACCGGGATCTAGCGAAACCCATGTATTGTATGTACTTTTGCCAATCTAAGCCATTCTAATCTCTTATCTAGCAAATCCCATGTATTGTGCTGATTGAGGAAGGAATTTGATGATTTTACAGTTTTCCAGATAGCCTAGGAGATGATCTCATCATTGAAATTCAGGATTCCAAGGGCAAGCATTATGGTCGTGTTCTTGCTCAAGTTGCTACTATTTCTGAAGATCCAGTGAAGTTCTCTATTTCCTTATTGTGTTTCTGAAAGTTAATTGATGCTGAAATTTGTTTCAGCATAAGACTTATGTAGAAGATCACTGCAGGGTGACAAACTTCGCTGGTGGTCTATTTACCATGAGCCAGAGCATGAGCTTGTTGGAAAAGTCCAACTCTATATAAATTATTCCACAAGTTTGGATGAAAACAGTCATCTTAAGGTGAGGTGCCCCACGCTTTTTGCAAAGGAGGATTTATTCAAATCATTTCTTTGATATTCACCTTTAAGGAAAATCAGCTTTTGCCATATTGATCTTACTTCATGAACCTTGCTTCAGATTAGGACCAAACTACAGTCTGATCAAGTAGTTTCAAGCACCTAGACAACTGATTGCATAAGAATTAGGAGTGGATACATGGTATTAACTGATCTTCTTTCTGGTCCTTAGTGTGGTTCCGTGGCAGAAACTGTGGCATATGACCTTGTATTAGAAGTTGTGATGAAAGTTCAACATTTTCAACAAAGGAATTTGGTGCTACATGGCCAATGGNTAGATACATGGTATTAACTGATCTTCTTTCTGGTCCTTAGTGTGGTTCCGTGGCAGAAACTGTGGCATATGACCTTGTATTAGAAATTGTGATGAAAGTTCAACATTTTCAACAAAGGAATTTGGTGCTACATGGCCAATGGAAGTGGTTACTGACTGAATTTGCAACTTATTACGGGGTTTCTGATGCATACACGAAGCTAAGGTAATTAATTAGTGCTAGGTTGGCTGCTCTCGCGTGCCACAGTAATTGGCTTATGCAATACCTTTGCTTATAAGTTATAACTACATATCTGTTCCATAAGCAATTTCATTTGGTATTCATACCTAACTGATGCATGCATGCATGCAGATATCTTTCTTATGTTATGGATGTGGCAACACCGACGGCTGATTGTCTGACGCTGGTGCTTGATTTGTTGTTGGCTGTAGTAATGAAGGGACAAAGTAAGGGTACACTAAGTCATCAAGAGGTAAAACCCAATGGCAGTTTGAAACTATATATTGTTGTTGTCTCCAGAGCATTCTTTTTTTAGTGGATCTAGGGCACTTTTAATCCTTCATTTTAAAAGTGGCTTCTTGTGATATTGTATAATTTTTTTTATTTAAAATAAGACCCCTCATTTTTGTATCTTTTGTAACACCATGCATGTTGTGGTTCTTAACACCAGAACCGAATCTTGGGAGAAATTGAGGATCAAGTTGAACAGATTTTTGCTCTTGTTTTTGAAAACTACAAGTCCTTGGATGAGTCGTTACCTTCTGGGATCATGGACGTTTTCAAGCCTGCTACAGGGCTTGCAGCTGCTGCTTTGGAGCCTGCTGTAAAGCTTTATACACTTCTTCATGATATATTATCTCCTGAGGCACAGAATAAGCTATACAGCTATTTCCAGGTTCAAAAAGTGACATACAAGTATTCATTCTTGTTTTATGTTTCTATATTGCTATAGTTTTAGTAAGTCATCGTGTCTCTCCAGGCTGCAGCGAAAAAAAGATCAAGGCGACACTTAAGCGACACAGATGAATATGTTAGCGGCAATAGTGAGGGCATTCTGATGGATGCCCTTACTGTTTCTACTGCGTATCAGAAAATGAAATCTCTTTGCTTAAACATTAGGAATGAAATTTTCACAGACAGGGAAATACACAATCAAAATATACTTCCCAGGTAAATCTTCTTTTTCTCACTGTCATGAGAATATTTTCCAGATTATGACAGTATATTTCTTTTTTACTATTATGAGCTAGGCGTGTGATCTGTTATTTTCAACCTCCAACACTCTACGTTGGAGGTTGTGGGAGTTGCATATTTTTTCAGATTTGTAGACGCTGGAGATAGTATTGGAAACTTCCTTTAGCGTCATCACTTAAATAAAAGAATAATATATTTCTCGACTTCCATGAAATACAACTTTTATTTTATTATGATCTTAATTACTGTAGACTACCTGTATGACAATCACTGGGTTATTCAGCAACGCCTCCGCAATTAAATTGTCATTTTAAATCAGCTCCACTAAAAGAGTGGAACTGTTGAAGAAGATTGAAAAGAATATGATTGATAGAATAGAATAAATAGATTACTTGAAATATTAGAAGAGAACATCCAAAAATATGCAAATGAAATGCTGGCAAAGCAATAGACCATCAGTATACTAAAGAAAATATTGAGAAAGTTGATTTAAAAAGTGGTATTCTGGCACTTATCCATAGGATTTTTCATTTTGTAAATACATTCTGTTTCTTGATATCTTATTGGTATGATTTTCACCTGCCAATGGATCCAACTTTTATACAAAGGTGAGGAGAAAAAAGATGGGGTGGGAAATGGGGAAACCTGCCAATATGTAGTCCTTTGTTTTTTTAATAACAAATTAAAAAATTTTCTCAACTGAACGGAACCTTGTCCCAGCTATTTTGGGTTGGCTACTCGGATAGATAATCTATACAAGTAAATCAATAAATTATTTCTTATTTCCTTTTAGGACTTTATCTTGTGGATTTTAACAACCTGGAACAGTGGAACTATATTGTGCCTCACCACCTTGACATGTTTAGAAAAGGCACGGTGAATGATGAAGAGTAACTTGATTGAGTAGTTTTACACTTTTACTTTGGATACCATATCTGATGTTGTGTTGATAATATCTACTGTGTTCTACAAATCTAATTTATCTATAGGGGTTCTCCCCTTTGTTCCAGCAAATTTGATGTTTTGACTACTTAAAGTGGACGCCTTTTCTTAAAAAATAAAAAAAAGGTTCTTTAACATAGATATGTTGAAAGGTTCCTTAATCTGCATGATAACTGCAAAACAAAGTAGCCCCCTTTTTGCTTATCCAAATCATTAACTTCTTAACTAGATGGTGTGATCACAGATTTGGTTTGATATCTTCTGTTAGTCGTGTAAAATTTTAACATTTGTTGATTTTTTTTTTTTGTAGTTTCATAGATCTNTGTTAACTAGATGGTATGATCACAGATTTGGTTTGATATCTTCTGTCAGTCGTGTAAAATTTTAACATTTGTTGATTTTTTTTTTTTGTAGTTTCATAGATCTACCAAATCTTTCCTCGGCAATATACAGCGCTGAACTTTGCAACAGATTGCGTGCTTTCCTCATTGCATGCCCTCCAGCTGGCCCTTCGCCTCCTGTTAGAGAACTTGTCATTGCAACTGCAGATTTTCAAAGGGATCTTGCTACATGGCACATTAAGTAATTAGTTTGTATCACTCTACTCATTTTTTGCAATCATGTTTTTTACTAATTTGCATGTGTTGACTTAAAAAATGTGCCTTGTCAGACCTGTCAAAGGTGGGGTCGATGCAAAAGAATTGTTCCATTTGTATATTGTCCTCTGGATTCAAGATAAGCGCCTTGCTTTGCTCGAATCATGCAAATTAGACAAGGTACATATATTATGTCTACGATAGTACGAGATATTTGATTTATTTCTTAACCTTTTTTTGGGTGTCTTCGTGTGTGCAATCACAAGGAAAACTCATGCTATAGAGTTTATCTACTTCCAAGGTCTCATTGCAAAAATGCCTGAACATCTAGGCGCAATTTCTCTTACACTGAAACTTTTCGAACAAAAAGAAAAGGTGCATGCTTGTATTTTATGCATCAGATCTAGCTGGATTCTTTTGCCTGATTTTTTGTAATCTATGTTTGGAAGTTCTATATGGTCTAATGTAAGTTACTGGGAAGGTTTGATTTAGTTGTGTTGTGTATGATTCCTTGGATAAAGAGTTTACAAAAAATGCTGATATGCATTAGCAATTCCTTTGTTACTTATTTTCTTGATTAATTGTGCTTTGTTCGATCATTATTTATGGGCCCATGAAACCCTATGAAAGCTTCCATATCTTGCAAAAAGTTTCTACCATCTGTGTTCTATAATTCTCGATGCTTAAAATTATTCATTTACTCGCAGGTGAAATGGTCTGGAGTTAGGACACAACATTCAACAACCCCGTTNAAAAGTTTCTACCATCTGTGTTCTATAATTCTCGATGCTTAAAATTATTTATTTACTCGCAGGTGAAATGGTCTGGAGTTAGGACACAACATTCAACAACCCCGTTTATTGATGAAATGTATGACCGCCTGAAAGAAACTTTGAATGATTACGACATCATCATTTGCCGGTGGCCAGAATATACCTTTGTTTTGGAGAATGTATGGTCAAATGGGTTCTTCATCCCTCAACTCTTTATCTTGTTTTTTCCTTCATATGCTGTGGAATGACATATTAGTTATTGACTCAGTATGGGGGTTACTTTGAACTTTGGCTTTTATTACAGTTGGCTGAAACTTTAAGATATCCTTATATAGAATTGGGTTTAGGGTCCAAACTAAATGTCAATGGATGAATAGAGCAAAGAGTTATCACGAGGAAGATTAAACTGCAGGCAGGGCAAAGGCTAGTTCTTTGATAATTAATAACTATGACCGGCGCAACTATTAAAAGAAGGCAGGGAAAGATGGAAAGTGGCTATGGACTCTACTATATCATTTTGTTGTGGATGCTTTATAAGATAAAAACTTGGATTGTAACTTGAACTTTCTTGTCTTTTTATTCCATAACAAGGCCATTGCGGACATCGAGAAAGCAATTGTGGAGGCCCTGGAAAAACAATATTCAGATGTCTTGTTGCCGTTAAAGGAAAATTTGACACCCCGGAAATTTGGCCTCAAATATGTACAGAAGCTTGCCAAACGATCTGTATGCCCTTATGTGGTGCCTGATGAGGTGAATTACTTGTCAAATTCTCAACATGTTTTTCATCTATATTCTTGTGGCCTGAAATTTGTTTTTGCACTTCAGCTTGGTGTGCTGTTGAATTCAATGAAGAGGATGCTTGATGTCCTGCGGCCAAAGATAGAATCCCAATTGAAAGCATGGGGTTCATGCATCCCTGATGGGGGAAACACAGCCCCTGGAGAACGATTAAGCGAAGTGACTGTGATGCTTAGGTCCAAATTCAGAAATTATCTGCAAGCAGTTGTTGAAAAGCTTGCAGAAAATGTGAGTATAGCATTCTACACCTGGCCTTAAATTGTTCTTAATTTGTTTTATCTAACCATAGAAAGGTCTAGGGATCTTTCAGACCCAAATTTGTGTTTGTTGCCTATACACCTATGTGATATTTCCTGAAAAGACAGAAAACAAATGAACAAATCACATGATATATTTATGGCTTGTGTGTGATCTAGTTAATACAAGAAGGATAAATGCTTTATGCCCCAAAAGAGGATGATGTTGATTTGAAAAATGTGAGGCCTTAAATCTACATAGCAAGTTGTGTGCACTTATAATACCTATATGCTTCTTGTAAACCGAGTGTTTGGACCGTGTCTCAGCTTATCTATGATAATGGTGTCCCAGCTGACATCTGGTTTGCCAGGTATAGCCTTATTTTATATTCTCCGTTTATACACAACTGTTGGAAGTTCATTTACCCACAGATCAATTTTCATGCAACTCCAAATTTGCTCTTAAGGTGCACAAGTGCATAAGAATATGCTCCCCAATGTAAAGAACGTTGTTTGGCATGTTTATGTGCATGTTCCTTTGCATGCGATCTGTTGTTCACCGGGTTTCTGGTTCTGCTGTACTAAGTTCATTGTGTTTTTCTTTGCATGACAAGTTGTTGCTTTCTTTGGTATTCTTCTCGATTGACCTTCTTTTTTCTCTTTCTTTGATCCAGACAAGACTACAGAGTAGTACAAAGCTGAAGAAAATTTTACAGGATTCAAAGGATGGTGTAGTAGAGGCTGATGTCAGAAACAGAATTCAGCCACTAAAAGAGCAGCTTACGAATACAATAAATCATCTACACACTATCTTCGAATCCCATGTATTCATTGCAACCTGTCGAGGTTATTGGGATAGGATGGGACAGGTAGAAATCGTAGAATTACTTGCATCTGGATACTATTAAGAAACAGAGTGAATAGTTTCACTCATCTGTGTGTTCATTTTGCTGCAGGATGTTCTTAGTTTTTTGGAAAACAGGAAAGAGAACAGGGCGTGGTATAAGGGTTCAAGAATTGCCGTCTCTGTAAGTAGCATTTTTTATTCTTCCAGTCTCGATTTGCTCTCCAAGTTCTGTTATTGACAATTAATTACAGTTATATGATAAAGAGACAGGATCTGAATACCTATGTTATCTATGTCTAAAAATCAAGGTGGTTATTTTTGCTACATTAGGACATGGAGGTTTCTTGCAAATCATTTTTTCATAACTGTTTGGTTTGTGGTGAGAATTTGTAAATTAAATGGTAGGAGTCAACCTAATTAGTACTTACATAACTATATCATTGATTCTATATTGTAGTCCTTGCTGTCATATCCTCGTGTGATTTTTCGATTTGTTGTTCCATGCAGATTCTGGATGATACCTTTGCATCTCAGATGCAGCAGCTACTAGGGAATGCCCTTCAAGAGAAAGAACTGGAGCCACCAAGGTCCATAGTTGAAGTGCGTTCAATTCTTTGCAAAGATGCTCCGAGTAACAAGGGCAACAATTACTACTATTAGGTTATACGTACATATGCTCTATAAAAGGACTTTTTTTTTTTTTTGAGAGGGGAGGAGAGAGGAGAAAGGGGCTTTGGACGGGGGAAGGGGTGGTATGCATTGACACCGAGTTTGAAAACAAAGGTGTTGATATTGTTCACAGGCTGCATCGGTTTTTTGTTTTCAGGAAGCAGGTGACTCGGCTGCTCCAAATTCATCTATCTTCCCAGAGGATTTCTCAGATTATTTTTGTAATTACTTTTAAAAATATAGAAAGTTGGTATATTATGCATTTTACATAATCCAGCTCCAGTATCTTTGCCTTATAAATTCTGTTCAGTCAGTTCGGCATGTGTANGGGGTATGCATTGACACCGAGTTTGAAAACAAAGGTGCTGCATTGGTTTTTTGTTTTCAGGAAGCAGGTGACTCGGCTGCTCCAAATTCATCTATCTTCCCACAGAGGATTTCTCAGATTATTTTTGTAATTACTTTTAAAAATATAGAAAGTTGGTATATTATGCATTTTACATGATCCAGCTCCAGTATCTTTGCCTTATAAATTCTGTTCAGTCAGTTCGGCATGTGTACTTGTGCCTACAAACTTTCAGCTCAAATGATGAGATTACGTAAAGCTAGTCGAACAGTGCAACATTAAAGACTACATGTAAACATCGCCTCAAACTTGTCTAACTCTTGAAGCCCCGATGGTGCAAGGGACACAATCCAATTTAACCATCTCTTGGAATTAGACCATAAAAGCTTTATTGTTTATGAATATTTTAATTTAGTGTTAATAACTTATTTTTAACTACACTGGAGTGGATATTAGTCAAAATGTATGTAAATTAACCTTATTACTTTTGACTGTTAAATTAAAAAAAAAAAAAAANAATTTAACCATCTCTTGGAATTAGACTATAAAAGATTTATTGTTCATGAATATTTTAATTTAGTGTTAATAACTTATTTTTAACTAGACTGGAGTGGATATTAGTCAAAATGTATGTAAATTAACCTTATTACTTTTTGACTGTTAAATTAAAAAAAAAAAAAAAGCATACAACCCAATTTCATTTNCCATAAAAGCTTTATTGTTTATGAATATTTTAATTTAGTGTTAATAACTTATTTTTAACTACACTGGAGTGGATATTAGTCAAAATGTATGTAAATTAACCTTATTACTTTTGACTGTTAAATTAAAAAAAAAAAAAAAAGCATACAACCCAATTTCATTTTGAAGTAATGTAACGAATAAAATTGATTTCTAAATTGCAAATGCAACCTTTGCAGTGTTTTCCCCTCAAAATTTTTGTTCATGGTTAAGGTACGAAATTAGGAAGTGCATGCCGTTACTGATGAACAGAGCCCTAATAACGTTCTCAACTACGGAAACATAGGCCAGAGAACAATTATACATTGGTTATCCAATCAACTGTAACAGTACATAGAACAGCTTTAAGTAAATAAATATTTACAGGATTAAATTACATCAGCAATCAATTGCAGTGTCACACAAAAAGAATAGCACTTACTATTGCGCAATTTTGACGAATACCAAGCTGCTTTGGCAGCACAAGCATATATACAACCATGATACAAAGCATCGGAACTTTCCCGAATGGTCAGCGCAGATTAGAAAAGCTTTGATACAACGCCATAAAAGGGCCAAAATGCTGCTGAGGCGGCCCTAAGAAGGGCAGGATTTTGGTAAATCCTGTTTGAAGCAAACACAATGCCCGGAAGGAAGTCAGACTGTAGATACTGATAATAATCCGGAATGAACAGTCAAAATAAGAGAGATACTGATAATAATCCGGAAAATGCAGAACTCTAATTTCCTCTATCGACAATAGCTTCAAGAACACATGCATATGAGGATGCTAAACCTTTTGCCTTCTGCTTTATTTCAAGTGGGAACGGTGAAATAAGACATTTGAGGATGCTTAAATGCAGCTTCGAATTCATCAGCTGTTTTAACCCCAGGCATGGGCTCACAGTCCAACATCAAATCCCCCATGACATCCAAGAACTGGAATGTGAAAGTTGAAAAGGTAATAACCACTCCTCACAAGTGTATATTACCAAATGAGGCAGACATAAAAACAAGCAACACTTATAAGAATGGTTGGTTTCAGAAGTCTTTTAAGGATACACAGCAGCATCTCAAAACCAAACATTGGGAACACATGTTGAGAGTAAAACCTTGACAATTTGACAAGCTTGAGTGAACTGAAGACTAAAGGCTTCACTGTGCACAACCATGAACAAATACATGTCTTACCAGTTTCACAAATTCAATTGTCATAATCATATAAAAGCAAACCGGAAATTAAAATCCAATTTCAATCCAGGGGTTGATTTGCACAAGATTGCTAGTCCTGCACAATCCTTGCATTGCAGACCCCTTGATTCTATTTTTATATCGATATGCCTGCAGGCATGAGTGCTCAGCTACTCCTATAGTCTAAATTCCTAGTAGTCTTTTTCAATTGTTTTAGCTTTAACGAGAAGAAAATAAAAACCCTTTTTCAATGCACTTAATTTGTAAGCGCTATGCAACTTCTCAACTACAAAATTAGCAAGTTATGTTTCATCATTAGATTTGTCACACATTCACCCTTCAAAATGATGCTTAAGCAAGTATTCCCATTAGCAAAAGGGAATTCAGAATATTGGTCAACTGTAAAGCTTCAGCATTGTTGTGCCAATCACCTATGAAATCAAATCACAAACAGGGCATTCAATGATATATGGTTGTAGCTCAAACTTTAGCCAAACACCTTGCATTAAAATATTGTTAAATAGAACGCAAATTATATATATTCACCAAATCAAATTAAATAGCTTACCCAATGGCTGTAGCACCCCAGGATGCTACGTTATATATGACCTTGCTTCCATCCCATGCCTTCCGAAGCTTTCCCTTCTTCTTCTTCACAGAGAATGTCCTGCTCAGAGCTGAAACAATGTTCAAGAAACTTAGACCTCTTTTCCCTCAGTATCTGACAACCAAACTCTACAAAAAAAATAAAAAAATATTGTGCAAGTATAATAAACACAAAGCCAGTTAGATACGGCTCTTTTCTGTTTCTTTTCATGCTCTTCGAAACGATATCTGGAAGAGTTCACTGCAAGGTCATATCTCAAGGGAAGAGCAATCCCACTCACCATCCTGAAGCTGATTCGGGGTCAAATCCTGAAAAACAAAGCAAAAAGTTCAATGTCAGGAATAGACATTCCGCTTGAAGGAACAATATTGAGTTTATTCTAATCTGCAACAAACATTCAGGTTGATTTTCAGAACGACAGATTGATCACTTTGAATATAGATAATACCACCATTATCCTCATTTTACACCTAAACAACATACTAAACTGGCTGCTGCTAATTATGTCCTTAACAACTACAAAGTACAAAATATGCAGCAATGACCCATGTCAGGCTATTTCCAAGTAAGCCCAGTAGCAGGGTCATAGCTGTAAAGCCCAGGGCGTGCATATTTTCTCTTGGGAGATTTTCACCTCCTAGTAATAGTAGTAGTGTCTTTAACTACCTTCTCCCGACATCTTAGTATGTGACTTAAACAAAATATTTTAAATCATACACAAAGATTGGTATAAAAGAACCGCTTCATAACAGAATAGGGATAGTGGGTGGGTTAAATTAACTGGATAGGGCAGAAGGGATAACATGAATGAGCAGAGGCCTCTAATCTCCAAGCATTAGAATATACTAGGTCTTTATTCCCTAAACTGATGGCACTGAAAAATTTTAAGATGGCACCAAGCAAATGAAGGTAAGCCAAGTCTTATTCTCAACCTGGATATCCAGCAGTACCAGAATTTGAGGAAAGCTTATGGCTCCTAACATACATGGCAATATGTAGGTAGACAAACTATGGTTGAACTAGAGCAAAGGAGGATAAAGACATGCTGCTGAATCTTCTCCAATATTTCCACTAAAAGAACCTTGTAAATGAAGCAATTATAACCAAAAAGATGAGTGCTGCAAAAAATAAAACTTAAACAAGCCTTTTCTCAAAAGCCAGTAAAGAAGAAAGCAAAAATGTAGCCATATGCACGAGATTGCTAGTCAATCAAGTTGCAAAAAACACAGTTCACACAATGCTCAGTTGTTGAGGCATCAACCACAATGGCAGAGGAAAATTAATTGAAGCAATGGATTTAAGAGAATTGAACGGAGTTTTTCAACTGATAGACAGGGGGGGGGGTAGGGGGTGTAAATACCCTGAAAAGGTGCAAATGAAGCAACAAGAAGGCATTTCACGTACCTTAGCCTCTTTAAGGGACAACAGATAGGCAGCCATGAAGCATGCAATACCATCCACTATATCTTCTTGCCTAATTAGCACATACTCTTCTGTATCTAACTCATTATTCCCTCCTTCCCAAATATCATTTTCGCCAACCATGTCCCAGGAACTGCCTTCTTCTGCATCATATAGGGATTATAGAAGCAATTCCAATTAAGTATCAACTCTTCTGAGGAAAGTGGAGGGGAGATAGGGAGGGGGAGAAGGAGCAGAAGTTTTCGAAGCCACAAGGAAAATAAAGAAAAAAATGTTCTAGTTAAGGCACGTGAATGCGTACCCGCGACATTGTGTGGAACGGATGCCTGTTCACTCTCTAGCTTTTCAAGAAAATCAGGGCATTCCACCCTAGACTTCAGGAGATCGCACAACTGCAAATAGAAAAAAGATGCAGCCGATTTTTCAGCAGCTAACATCTCCTATGGGGTAATTTATGTGGGGAATGATGAAAGCATCCTTATCATGTTAGACTTCCAAATAACATACTGGCATGAGTTCCTTGTAAATTTCATATGTAAACCACAAAAATCACACAAAAGGGATTTGAATGAAACTGAATTCTTTGGATCATGATAGAACTGCACGAGATATATAAAATTGTATAAAGAGCAAAACAAATGCTTTTTAGAACTGCAAAAGAGCTAGATTGTTTTATGATACCCCTTCCATCACGTATCAGAAGTTATGCCGCAAAACAATAGCCCATCACAATCTATTCACTAGATTATCATATTTTCTAGCTCAACATACAACTAAAATTACTCTAAGACAGCCCCATTTAAATCAGATAGTCGAGACTAAACAAACTCAAATCGCTATAAAAACACCTGAATCTAATGGAAAGAAATAGAAAGAAAGAAATCACACACAAACCAAACGAAAATCCAGACTTTCAAAGATCTCGATATCATAGAATAAATCACACTTTGCCAACAAAGAACCCCATACTTTACCTCTTCGGTTTCGTTATCACGACACGGCACCGAGGAGGCCATACCGGTCTCCTCTGCATCATCGGCATCTACATTCCTGTCATCTTCTTGATCGTTTTTATCATCAACAAAGCCGGTGTTACTAAGCAATTCAAGAGTTCTCTGGCACTGCTCAAGCACATCCTGCAAGGTCTTCCTCTTCACCCGAATCCGATCCCTCTCTGAATTCGCCCTCTCAATTCCAACACCGATCGGTTTCGCACCTGAGACCTCCACCTCCATGCCTCCACAATGCATACACCTATTACCTATACATACAAATACAATGTCCTTCTCTCTCTCTCTCTCTCTTGTTTCTATCAAAATTCAGAGAGATATTTGGGGAGCTCGAAGATGTAGAATAAAAATTATTATTCGGCCAATATTGGCTTTGTGATTGAGTTCGTACTTTTTTGGTTTGGTGTGATGGAGAAAAAGAGAGAGGACAGAGAGAGAGACAGGGGGAGGTGAGCCGCCTGCGTTTAGTTTTACTTTCACATGCTGGAATTGATTTAGCCGTGTGTAGTGTGGGGTCTGGCCCAGGGGTGCAGTGAAAGGCGAGAATTTGGAATTGCTCCCCCCCGAGTGGCCGAGAGATAGAAGAAGATGGGAAGATGTCAAATTTGGCTTACCGTAAACTTACCAATAACCTGTGCAGAAAAATACTCTCTATTATCTGTTTGGCGTACCAAAATTCAATTACACTTAAAAATATAAACTCCAACCACTTCCATAATCGAATGAGTTTAAGATTCTAAAATTATAATTATTCAGATGATTATAGTGAAACGTAAGGTTATCTCTAAATTTTTTTTTTTGTCTTTAAGATCAAGAGTTTTAAATAATTTTCGAACTAACTACGCATAATAGACTAAAATATAAAATAACAAATAAACTAAACTTGAAAAATGAAATAGTATTGTATTTAACATTAAATGAAAAGAGTAAAGACTATCAGAGTGATGAATTACAAGTAAAAGTAAAAATTACTTGGAAATAAATAACAAATAGAATAAAGGTTGACTCTGTGTAAAATTGTATGTTTAATCGCCTATCTTTTCTCTGTAACACTGTCTTTGTTATTTATAGGGATGACTTTCAACCATCGAAATCATCATTTTCGCCATGACTGTAATTATGAATTTTTTCCTCCAAAATCAAACTAATTTTAACCGCCCACATCCTTAACATTGACTCAAATTTGTTCCTTCAAGCACTAAGGAACTGTTAAACCATAATTAGTGACATTACACTAATAAATTAATACATAAGTGAAGTCCATATAGCGCACATTTGCGTAGTAATTGAATTAAATTTATTGTGCTAGATGAACAAGGAAATTGTCGTAAGGTTCGGAATCACTTCAACAAGGGGACATGTCATCAATAGGAATTTTTTTGATGGATTTATCAGGGAGCGATGTTATATAGACTTAAAAATTAGATTTGATAATTTTAACCATTGATTTCATTGTGGGTCCTATTATTTATTGGGACCCACTACCTATTCAATGATTGAGATTATCAAGTTTAATTTTTAAGTTCATCAAACATTATTTTTTACCAAGTGACCAAATTTGATAAAAGTCTTTCATATTTATAATTGGTCAAGAGACACACTTGTCGGATATTCACAACCTTTTGAAGGAAAACTTATTTGATATGTAACTATTCACAAATAATTGTCAAAATATTTAAAAAAAAAAAACAATTATTTTTATGTTTTCGACAATAAAGGAGTTGCGGAGCAATGAAGGTTAGGGTTAGGGGGAGGACGTGGAGTAGATTTGGGTGGAGGCGTGGATAAGTAGAAGAATATGGAAAATTTAAGGGGGGGTTCTCTTTTATATTTTTATGTTTCAAGATTTTATATTTATACATAAAAATATGATTTATAATTTAATACCGGGTTAGAATCAAATGTTTTTTTTTTATGTTTTAATATTTTATATTTATATGAAATAATATACTCTACAATTTATATAAAATTATTAATTAATAAAAATTAGAGTCAATTTTTTCAGAAAGAATTTTAATCGAAGTTTGAGTTAAATTCCAACTCTGACAGAGACAGAAGTGGATCTAAATCAGAGTCCGGGTCAAATTTTTATATATTTGCGCACCCCTAATATCAAGTCAAAATGTATCATACCGTTAATCTAACACTAATGCGTATCCCCCCTCCCCCAACCCGATTAGGCCCAACGGACAGCCCAGAGCCAACCACAGTGGTAGGGCTCATACTAATTTGCAGGCAAGTTTGTGGGCTGTATAAGTCCTGGTCCACGGCCCGAAGTAAGGGTGTAATTCGGCGGGTTTAAGGATTAACCCAAGACGAATTGACCATTATGTGTTAATACTTTAAATAATGTAATTTTTTAATTTGTGGACTGTATTTTATAAAAAGTAAGGAAAAATTATTGATACTCTGAAGAACAAAATATTTCATTGATGGTACTGTGCAACATATATTCTCCGGAGTTTTGTTAAAATCATTGTATTACTGTGAAGAAAAAATTAGATCTTACATTGCGGTTTAAAATTTTTTATTGTAAAGCTTTGTATTTGTTATTGAATGAGAGAATCTTTTTCTAATGAGAGAGAGAGAGAGAATAAATTTCAATTTCAATTTAGGAGTAAATTAAGGAATAATAATTTTTAATTTAAAGCTACTTTCAAGGTCTTTAAAATTTCTATAATTGAACACAATAACACTATTAAGGGTATTTTTGAAATTTAAAAAAATAATGGACTTAAGTACTTATTAGTAAGATAAAAAACAAACTTATCACCGAATAAATTTTCTTGACAGACTCAAGTCATTATAAGTTTATCTAGGAGGATTCAGCCTCAATTTTCACTAAAACTTTTAACCCTATTCCAACCCAAGCTTGACTTTAAACTCGAGGTATTCAACTTGAGTATTGTCCAAGTCAATTTCGGGCATGACACAATAATTGACTGACTTATATATATATTTCAATTTCGGATTGAACCTGAATTTAATAATTCGAGTTGAACCCATGAACTCGAAATCTCAACCTGACATGCAATCTAAATTTCAAAAATTTTAACCCAAACTATTTTTTGAACGAGTTAACCCGTTCAAGTTACACTCTTACTCAAAATAGTACGCCAACAGCCCATTGTTGACTCAGGTTCCCTAAGCTGCTCTAATTTTTACATTATTGTTTAAATTATAGGGATTTGGAGGTCGGTCCTTAAGCCCAATATAATTTCAAAAAAAAATTGGGACTTAGGAAGGACGGTACCTCCCGAAAAATTTAATAGGATAAAAGTACATTTTTAAAAATTATTGGGATACAAGTACATCTACTAAAAAAGAGTCATAAATAGTGTATATCTAATTGAATGTGATATTTTTAAGATTAAAATGTGAAAATTTCAAGATTCCTTTTGATATTTATGTATCATTTGAAATTACATATACATATATATATATATATATATATATATATATATATATATATATATATATATATATTTGTCCATTCAACGAGTTGTATATAAAGAGGGATTCGAAAAATTGTTATGTAAAGAATGTCACCAAAAAGAGATACGAGATAATGACAATGAGGTCTAATCAATAACATCATGTAATGTCCTCTTAATAATGCCCAAGTAGTATTAGTAAAGAGTGATAACAATATATTGACCATAAATGATGACAATATATATTTGCCCACTCAAAGAGTTACATCTAAAGAGGGACGCAAAAAATTGCTATGTAAACAGTGTCAACAAAGAGAGACACAAGATAATGACAATGAGAGTCCAATTAATAACATCATGTAATGTCCTCTTGATAATGTCCAAGTATTGGCAGTAAAGATTAACAACAAAAGATTGATCTTAAATGATGACAATATATATTTGTCTACTCAAAGAGTTGCACTTAAAGAGGAACTCGAAAAATTACCATGCAAACAATGTCACCAAAAAGAGACACGAGATATTGACAATGAGAGTCCAATCAATGACATCATATAATGCTCCTTTAATNCAAACAATGTCACCAAAAAGAGACACGAGATATTGACAATGAGAGTCCAATCAATGACATCATATAATGCTCCTTTAATAGTGCCCAAGTAGTGTTAGTGAAGAGTAATAACAATAGATTAATCATAAATGATGATAACATATATTTGTCTATCCAAAGAGTTGCACCTAAAGAGAGACTCGAGAAATTGTCATGCAAAAAGTGTCACCAAAGAGAGGCACGAGGTAATGACAAAGAGAGTCCAATCAATGATATCATGTAATGCCCCATTAATAGTGCCTAAGTAGTGTCAGTAAAGAGTGACAACTAAACTATTGTTTGATGAGCGTTTTACTGTTTGATGTTATTATTTTTTTGTTAAACGTGTTACTGTTTGATATTATTATATGTGTGTGTGTATATATATATATAGGGAAAATTTCATCAACACTCCTTCTAAATAGATCTATTTTTAACGACACCTCTTACCTTTTCTGAAATTTTACTGACCTCCCTTGTCAGTGTTAGTCGGCTAACAGACGTAACGGAAATAGACGTTTTACCATTTTACCCATGAGTTTTATAAAAAATTACATATTCACCAATTATTTTTCATTAAACTATATATAAATATATATTCCTATTTCCAAGTGTTATGTGCAGTACTATTAAACTATATATAAATATATATATATAGTTTAACTGTATGGTGTCATCGATTTTTTTTAAAAAAATGATTTTGAATTTTTTTATTGTATTATGTTTAAGCGTACAGTATTACCAGTTTTTTTTAAAAAAAATTATTTTGAATTTTTTCCTTATATTATGTTAAGTGTACGGTGTCACCTTTTTTTTTTTTAAATTATTTTGAATTTTTTTCTTATATTACGTTTAAGCGTACGATGTCACTGGTTTTTTTTTAAAATTTTTTTTTTTAAAAATTATTTAAAATTTTTCTTTGTATTATGTTTAAGCATACGATATTATTGGTTTTTTTTTAAAAAAATTTTTTAAAAATTTTTTCCTTGTATTAAGTTTAAACGTACAATGTCACCGTTTTTTGTTTTAAAATTATTTTGAATTTTTTTCTTATATTATGTTTAAGCGTACGGTGTTACTGGTTTTTTACTTTTAAAAAAAAATTAAAAAAAAAATTATTTTAAATTTTTTCTTTGTATTATGTTTAAGCGTACACTATTATCGGTTTTTTTTTTAAAAAAAAATTATTTTGAATTTTTTCGTTGTATTATGTTTAAGCGTACGGTGTCACCGTTTTTTTTTAAAATTATTTTGAATTTTTTTCTTATATTATGTTGAAGCGTATTATGTCACTGGTTTTTTTTTAAAAACAATTTCTAAAAAAATTATTTAAGAATTTGTTTTTGTATTATGTTTAAGCGTATGGTGTTACCGGTTTTTTTTTAAAAATTATTTTAAATTTTTTCCTTATATTATGTTTAAGCGTACGATATTACCTATTTTTTTAATTTTTTTTTTAAAAATTATTTTAAATATTTTCCTTATATTATGTTTAAGCATACGGTGTCACCATTTTTTTTTTACGGTGTCACTAATTCATAGCACTAAATTTTTT